GCCAAATGTTCCCTAACCTGAAGAGCCTGTGATGAAGACAAATGGATTATCCTCTTCTTATAGGGGTCAGTTAAATGTTCTTTCTTTATGGTTGTATTTCTTGCCTTAACATTGACTGGCTCTACCTCCTGGCACACACCCAACAATTCCCCTTCCTGAAGTGTCTGCTCACATTTAGAGAAATTAGCCACTATTATTGGTATTACTTGATGACCTGCCACAAGTGACCTTCCAATCTTCATGTCTGCTGGCCTGGATGGGTCTTCCACTGCTTTCACAAGCATCGGGCTTCCTTGGGGATGTTGTTTTATTCTACCCGAAATTATCTTCTCTGATATAGGGGGTACTGTAGTTAACTTAAGTGCTGTGACATGGAAATCAACAGTAGCAACAACACTTATTAGCATTTGGCCTTTGTTGTTCCCAAGCTTCATTTTATCAAAGTTAACTACACACTTTCTCGGTAGTAAGTAGTCCAACCCTAATATGCATGGGTATTCAATGTCAGCCAAATATACTTTGTGTCTGTCCTTTATGCCCATGAGGTCAATAGTTACCTACACTGGTCCCCACAACTTTGCATAATGTCCTGTCACACCACAGAGCTTCTGTATGGCTTCAGGTATTCCTTTGTGATCCAGCAACTTGATACACACAAGGATTTGCTGAGATGCAGAATCTATGACAAAGTTGCACTTTTGGCCATCCAGCTTTCCTGTCACGTAGACACTATGTTTGCTTACCATTTTACTCTTAGCTGTTGGCACATTCACAATGGAGGTTGGTGGACGTTCATCAGCACCAACCACTACTGGTTTCCCTGAGGCTGACTTATTGGTAGTATTCTTCTTACACTGGCTCTTCATATGTCCTTGCTCTTCACAGTTCCAACAGCCTTTCTGGGTAGCAGCTTTCCCTGTTGTGCCATCTTTCCTCTGTTGCCGGCATTGAGCTCTCTTGTGCTCAGGTTTATTACAGTGCCAGCAAAGTCCCACAAACTTCTCTGAAAGCTGCCCTTTTCTGGCCTTGAATCCTGATGACTGTATCAACTTTGGTATCTCTGGGCTGGACTTAATGTAGGATTCGATTTCAAGAGCTCTGGCCATTGCATCCTGTGTAGTAGAGGGGTGTGCATGCTTTACTTGTATCTTCAGTTGTGGACTGTCCAAGGCATCCACAAACTGATCCATCAACAACAGCTTGAGGACATTGGATGGTGCAGTTGGGTAGGCCTTGTGTGCCACACTTTCCAAATCCTGTGCCAGCTCTTGCAGGCACTCCCCTTTAGCACGGACTCTCATCCTAAACCTAGCCCTGTAGACTTCGGACTGATTTTGAGTTCCATACCTCAGTTCTAGAGCAGCTACCAGTGCTCTATAGTTGTGTCTGTCGTCTGCTGACAACTGTCCAAGTATTTCCAGTGGTTGTCCCTTCAAGCTCGTTGTCAGGTACACTGCTTTCTGCTCCTCTGTCCATCCATTCATTTCTGCCAGGAGCTCAAATTGTACTCTATGTGCTTCCCATGGTGCCTTCCCATCGATTTCCTGTGGCTTCCTTCATACTAGATCACCCCTATTGCTAACACTCATGTCTGGAATGTGACTTCTGGCAGGACTGAAGATGTCTGCATTAGGGTTTAGCTGCGGGTTCTGGAAGGGGCTTCCTGTTGTCTGGGGCTGATTAGGTCCATGGTTAATATATCCTCCCTGTGTAACACACAACAAATCGTCCTCTAATGTATTTAATTCAACTTGAAATTTGCTAATTCTTTCCATTTGTGTATGCTGGCTTTCTTTCAACTGTTGGATACTTTCTTCTTGTTTATTTTCTTTGTCCTCCAACCACTGCTGTAGTCTCTCTTCTTGTTTATTTTCTCCTTCTTCTTCTTTATTTTACTGTTCTTGTATTGCTGCCATCAAATCTGCTAAGCTGTAGTTTGATTTGCCACTTCTCGTTTTCATCTTCTTTTTTATTTTTTATTTTCCGTCCCACTCTCTGACACCAATTTGTTGTGTATCTGCTGGTTTGTTAATTTCCGGTAGAAATTCTTTCCGAAGAATTTCATCAATACAAATCCTGTTTTGATTGAAACTAGTTTATTCTTTATTGATACAAATTTTAGTAGTACACAGAATTTCCACAGTCACTTTATTTTAAGTACTTTTATAAACACACGCTATA